ATATAGTGCATGGAGAATAACGAATTCTTTTGTTCTTATCACCAGTGCTTTCTGTGAGATAATCAATTTATTCAGTTAGGAATGAAAGAAAAAACAGGCCCAGAATCCTATTATTTTCAGTGCTTTTTCATAGACTACTACATATGTAAACGTTAAGGACAAAAGGCTCCTTAGAATATCCCCAATATCCTCTCCAGCACAGCACAGGGTCTAGGGTTTAACCTAGCTATTCCCATTGTAGGACCTGTTCAGGAAGAGGAGTGCTTTGGGAACTGAAATGTCAGGGACACACAGTTCAAAAGGACACCTCAACCTCTTCTGAAGAGGTTGAGTAGCCCTATGGGATGTGTGTGTTAGGAATGAAAAAAAAAATACATAGGAAAAAACTTCTGCCTGAGTTAAACACATTCTTGCAGCATTGAATTCAGAAGGTCAGAATTACAATCACAGTTCCTGATTTCTTGCTACCAGGAATCATGTATAAATGATACGCCTCTTTGTCCTCCTCCCCATAAAATGCATCCAGATAAAACATCAGGCTGACCTGGTTTGGTTTAGTCAACTTTATAACTCTGCTTGTTGTAGGCCCCGTGCTAAACTACATCCTGGTGTGTTGCGTACCACTTCTCTGAACATTGCATTGAGAAAGTCCTATTCCTATTTGAAAAGAAATTTGGAGACAATAAGAAGGAATATTTATTGCAAGAGTTTACTGCTTCTTACATCCTTTATCTTGGAAGTGTCTGTGTAGCAGCTGGTCACCCATTGTATTGCCGTTATATAGAAGCTGCTTCTAGTACCTCTGCCTTTGTCAGGCAGGTTTATTGCTCACACCACAGGGGAGAGCGCTTACATGTCATAAAAGAGGCCCTGACTTGGAAGCAGCCCTTGATCTAAACTTGCAGGGAAGTCCTGAAATAGCTAAACCCAGATACCCCCTCTGACTCTTCTGGTACGTCAGCGTAGCCGCCTTGGATTAGCCGAGATGACCAGATAAACACTGATGGAGAAACAAGACGACTTGGCTCTGAGCTCCTCCACAGCTTTGTTTGCAGAGAGGTCGACTCTAACTCGTGCATTTCCCACGCGCCTCCTCTCCTCGGTGCCAGGACACCGAGCCTTCGCAGAGGCAGTGAAGGGTATTGGGGTCAAAGCAGCTGCAGCGTAGGTTGGGGGAGAGCTGGGGGGTGAAAAATGGAGCTACGGGGAGCAACCGCGGCTGCTTCTGCGCCAGAGAGCTGCTGTCCCTGCGTGTGCAGCGGGAGCGTCCGCAAGTTCTCTGCAAATGCAGGAAGACTGAGGGCTGGTTGCAGGGGATGGCGGCAGAGGGAAGGGGTGGATTTTGGTGCAAGTTGCTACAAAGCAAATCCTGGAGCCAGGGTGGGAAGCATTTGGCCTCGCTCGCTGCTCAGCGGAGCGTCGCCCCCAGGTATCTGTGCCTGGCTACCGCCTGCCAGGCTGTAAAGCTCCTCATGCGTTGTATAGCCAGCGCTGTAGTTTTGGGAGGCTGCTGCATGTTTTTAGGCTGAAAGTAACTGGGAGCAGCTGTGGTGCTGTGAACAATAAGGAGAACAATAAAACTTTTAGGGAAATGTTTTCACAACAGTAAAAAATGTGCATTTCATTTCTGGGGAAGAGGGAGGAAGCAAAAAGTGTTTTGCAGGACCTGCTGGTGCCCAAAGTTTAGCTGTGGCCATGAAAAGCTGGGAGAGGTGGAAAGGAAGGGTAGCTTTGATCTTAAAAAGATCCAAGTCTGAGCACCTGTTGAGTGTGAGAAGGGGGTGAGGTGGGAGCTAGGGAGGTGGGATTTCCTGATTGTCAGGCGTTCTGGGAGTGCTTGAGTCTGGGGTTTTCATTTAGACTACTTTCTCAGCTATTGGCAAAGTATAAGGCTCACATTTGCTATGCCCTCTCTGGCTCCACTAGGTCTGTCGGGCTTGAGCAGTGGCTTATTTTGAGGTCACTTCACCTGTTTCAAGGGGTGGACTACTGCCCCATACCATGGCCAGTGCTGGTGGTGGGCTCCCCACCAGGACACCCTTTCTGAAGAGCCTCTCTGCTGAAATCACTTTTGCAAACTGGCTGAAGCAGTCTGGGGGAGGCCAGGAGGAAAGCTTTTTTTTCAGCACTTTTTCCCAGTTCTGTAGCCTGTGAGTGTCCTGTCCGCTCCTTTCTTTGTGTTCATCTCTTCAGAAAGCTTCACCTGTACTTGGTGCTTCCCTTTATGATTAACAACTTGCTTCTTCCAATTCACTTCCCATTTGCCCTGCTTTCTCCAGAATCATGGTGGCATGACTCTCTTTCAGGGTAGAGGTGTCCTTTTAAAAGGTGTTGCTTTTATACCTACTTTGACTTGACTTCTCTGGACAGCTCAGAATCATCTTTCCCTTCTTGCGTTCATCTTGTGCTGTTTTTCTCCTTACCCTCTTTTTCTCCTACTCTGCTTCCTTTGTGTCTTTTGCACAAAAAGTCCTTCGACTGTTCCTCAGTTGCTTGGAGGATGTACTAAAGCAAGCTTGTCAAGGGCCCCTCTTTCAGTGGTCCACAAAACATCCCATTTGAGGTTCATGCTGCTTACTTTTCATTCTAGTTTTCTAGGATAATGCCCCTGGATCATAAACAGTTTGGGGCAGCAACGTTTTTTCATTTGTATGTCTTAGACGTTCTTTCAGCTAAAATGAAGGACCCTTGCTCCTGTCCCCAAAATAAAATGGGGACACACACTCAATAGATAAGTGTCTTTCCTCTTGCCAGGTGGTACACCACAGATGTTAAAATGACCCCACATCCTCCCCTGCTTTACAGATAGAGATAAGGAATGGATTTGAAAGTACAAATTTCCCTTGTTCTCTTTTTTTGCAAGCAATCTGTGAGCTCTTGGGGGCAGGGGGAAGCAAGCTGCCTGGATTTTACATGTGCTATCAGCTTTCTTACTGCAGGAAGCTTTTTTGCAGAGTGAGTCATACGTTTTACAAGAGCCTATACACCTAACGCATTGGCATTATTTAGGCTGAGCTGTTAAAGCAGAGCATACATGGACGCATGTTCAGAAGGTGCATCTGTGGGGTGGGTGTGAGTGAGCCCTGCAGGAATTACCTTTCTAGGAGGTGTGCTCTTTTCATCGCCCTCAACTCTTCTGTGTGTACAGGTGACCAGACCTCCTTCAGAGTTCAAGTTCGGCAAGTGGAGGACTATCCCGTGGACCTCTACTATCTGATGGACCTCTCTCTGTCCATGAACGATGACCTAGATAACATTCGCAACCTGGGAACCAAGCTGGCTGAAGAGATGCGAAAGCTCACTAGCAATTTCCGGTTGGGGTTTGGCTCTTTTGTGGACAAAAACATTTCTCCTTTCTCCTACACAGCCCCAAGATACCAAAACAACCCCTGCATTGGGTAAGTGGTAGGTGTACTCTGAAGGGAGAAGCCCGGTGTTTGCACAAATGGAGGAACTGAGAGCACAACCAGCAACTCGCTGCTTGACCGTGGATGCAGAGTCATTTCTTGCAATTCTTGCATTAAATAATGAACCACATCTATGCCCCATCTTTTCAAATGCTGATTAGCCACAGGTATTGCTGTGGTGCTCCAAAGCTGTTCAAAATAGGACAGAGTCTAATTTTTCAATGGCTGTTTGGAGGCTGCACCTAGATATGTGAACCTGTTGTATCAGGACCCTAAAGATATTTGTAAGTACCTGAGGAAGATACAGACACAGCAGGCTTTTTTTACAGGCTGGGAGGAAAAAGGAGGAAAAAAAAAAAAAAAAGCAAGAGCCATAGATTGCTGATTTCTGATCCTAGCTCTGAGTCATAGTTTGGCCTTGAGTACATCAATTAAGCGCTTTGTTTCCATTTTACAGATAAGGGAACTAAGCAATATAATAGACCTTCCTAACAGAAGTGTTGGGGGGAAGTGAGATATTTAAGGGCCTGTAAGACTGATTAATGAGTTCCTGTAAAGTGTTTTGAAGATTTCAAGCAGGTTTTTCCTTTAGAACTGTGCAAGGAGGGCAAACTCAAGTTGCAGACACACAAGTTCTGTGATTTGCTTTGCAGTATCACAGCCTTCCTTGTTGTGTTTTGTTTGTTTGTTTGTCTCTTTGTTCTCCTTGTATCAGCCAGAGTTTGGGATCAAGTCCATTGAAGCAGGGATTATGCCAAAGTGAGATTGGCTGAAGTGGAGGGTATCCAGGCTCAGACGGATTTGAACGTTGATACAAAAGGATGGATACAGCAGCAGATTCCTTGCTGTGTGAATACCATCTTTGATGCTTACTTTCATGGCCCCTGTCCTGCCTTTTCATCTAATCTGTCTTTGGGGAGGGCATCTTGTAGTCAAGAGTGGTAAGGTTAGCACTTTCGTTTGAGCCATTCCTGGATACTTAAATGGAAAGATCACATCACTGACTGATGTCAAGACGTGTGAGCATGCATCCTTTAAGTTTTCCACGTGAGTGACACATTAAAGAGTGCTTGCATCGTCTGTGAGCTTCTAAGCCATTGACCAAGCATTTGGCATCTAATTGGACATTGACCGTTCACCAGACAAATAATCCGCGTTCTGTTTTCACCCACATTGTCTGGAGAGGAAAATCAAATGGTGATTTTAATGTGAAAAAAATCTTGCTTTGGCCATGAAGCGTAGCCAAAAGTGATCATGTGGACTGAACAGTTCCCAGTGATAACTTGCCTTGGGAATTCAGTGAGACGTGAGTGCTTTTACTCACGGCGGCATTTAATCCTCTGAACATGAAATGCCCAAGGAAAGCTTTCGTAGAGAAACTAGAGCTGTTTAGGGAAGCCCTTCGTTAGTGCAAACCTTTCATTAATAGACATGCTTTTACAAGCATAATTTCCAAGTTGTTTCTGATAGGTCCAGAATGTACTGTTAGCATCTGGAGTATCTCTTTCAGGCCAGGATGTAACAGCGCTGAAAATACGTGAGCTGTTCTCCTGAGATTCTGCCATGTTGGCCTAAGGAACCATAAATTTTCTAACAAGTTTTCAGCAGTATCCAACCCTTTATTGGAAAATAGGCTACTCCAGCCTGGTTTGCCTTTGAACACAAACTGGTCAAACTGTCTTCTCAACTCTGATTTTTTTTTTTTTGAAAGCATCCCTATATTCAGTGGTTCGGATGAGGTGTTTTGTCTGGCTCTCCACTCATTGGGCTTAGTTTCAAATCTGTACAAAGGAAGCTGCGCTAGGTAGTTGTTGAGGACGTGTGAAATAGTCTGGATCCTTACAGCCCAGGCAGCATTGTGACTCCTTTGAATTCTGTGCCAGGGAAGAGTGCCACTTCACACCACATCTGTGGTGGGGTTAAAGTTAGGTAAATTAGAAGGCTATACAGAGAAAATAATTGAGCTTATTCTGCTGGAATAGATTCAGTTTCTGAGTGTGGGGCATAAAGATTCCTTAAATGCACAGATGAAAGCCCTAACCAGTAAAGAAACACTTAAAACTATTCCTCCTTCTTCAACTACTCCCTCTTTCTCTGAACAGACAGGGTTACACAGTATTTTCCGTTCTGTATCGCCTGCACTTCTAACTTTGGGATGCTGCTGTAATGAAAACCACCCTGGCTGAATAAAACTGGCAGAGAATGAATGATTGGCTCTGCAGAGAACTATTTCCACCCCCCCAGACCGTCCCATGTCAGAGCCCATTCTTCCCCGCGTGCCGCGTTCACCTGCTGCAGCCAGACGTGGCTTCAGAGATGGCTCTCTGCCACGGCGACACCGTATGCCATGTTCTTTGAATCTCTTCCCCACCTGAAATCTAGCGTGGCCTCAGACGAATGCACTCAGTCCTCTCCATTGTCCTCAGCTCATGTTGCTTGCAGGCTGGGGACAGGGTTTCACTTCAGCCTGCAAAATCTTCTTGGAAACCTTATTTGGCCAGTATGTGATTTAATTGAAATGACATGTCTTTTACTGAGCAAAATAGGGTGAAACGTGCAGGATGGGGAGGGCATGGCTGAAAGAGGAGAGGACAGAGTTGGACACCTTTGCAGCGAGGCCTGCCTGAAACTGCTGATGTCTTTTAAATAAAGCAGTGCAGCGGTGTCTCTTCTCCCATAGTGATTAGACTATCTTTACCTCCTTTTGGTTTTAGCCAGGTGATTGTCTTTCTGTTTATGGGGTATGTTAAGCAAGCCTGGGCTTGGGAAACCATTTAGGACGGATTGCCAAAGGCAGCTCATGTGGTGGGCGTTCCCTTCCAGGCACCATCCATCTTCTATTCAGTCAGCTCTTGGGCGCTAGCACCCCATTGTATTCTCATGGCATTATCTTCCCTTCCCTGCTCTACAAGTGGGTTTTTATTGCTGCGTTGACTTGCACAAGCCAGGTTGCTTGCTTATTTGGCAGTTGGGTGGGTTGCGTGTAGGGTTTTTTTTTCGTCCATAGTTACTTCTAGTGTAAAAGTAGTCTTTGGCCAGTGGCTTGCTTGCATCTAAAAAAAGCTGCAAGCAAGCACGCACTGTGGGTTTTTTTGTCTTGCCCCCAGTGCAGGCTCTGTTGGCCTCGGTGCAGCGAGAGCCTTCCTGCTGTGCTGGTCCTGGGGGGGCTGCACAGTGTTTCTGTGCTGGGATCTGGCTGGGATCCCTTCCGCCTCCTCCCTCCTCCTTCCTCGCTCACTGCTGCCTCACGTTCCTGGATCCGTGTTGCAGGCGCGACCTCCTGGGCTAGTCTGGGGCTTCTACCATGTCTAATTTGTGCTTCCTGTTGTTGGGTTACATCTATGGAGCTGGGATTTGGGCTCTCATCTTACCCGCAAGGAGCATTTGGAGTAGTTCAAGGAAGATAATATGAAGAAAATGCAAGATAACAAAGGTCAAGGAAGGCAGAGGGGTGAATTGAATACCCAGTCATGTAGCTGTGATATTTCTTGTAGAGGTTACAGCCAGAGATAACCTGCCCTGCCGTTGCCCCATAGTTAGTTGCTGAGATGGCTGTAGTCAGTTCTGCTGCTGCCTACAACTTCTGGCACCAAACCCGCCAGCCTCTGGGGCATAAAAATGGGAAGCTGGTAGGGATTAAATGATCAGTACTCATGGGATTGTAGAGAGGAGAGCAAGGTGTGAGACCCTGAAAGGTGAGACCCTGTAATACGTAAATGTTTTCTTTCTGGACTGGGACTCTGGCAAACGGAGCAGGCAGGTGTGTCGTATCCTACAAATCCGCCTGGGGAGACCTCCGTTATAACGGAGGGCTTTTAAACTGTGCAATCTCCCGGCCCGGCCCTGGGAGTGAGCAGAGCGCAAGGCTGAACCCAGGGCTGATCCCAAGCCATATGGTCGATTGCCAGCAGACCCATTTGTTGCTGTCTACCTGCGGTGAATAAACTCTGTTGCCATGCCCAAGACAGTCATACCTGACGTATGGGGAGGTAGGCGCCTTGCTGCGTGGTTGAGCATGCAGATGACAATCAGCATGTCCCTGACTCTGGGAACGGTGCTGTGTTCACAGAGCGCATGTGGCAGAAAGGCTGTGGCTTGTAAGGAATTTAAGGTTTCGGTGGTGGTAAATCTTAAATATTCCTTTGTATAAAAAGCCTCTTACAGCTTTACCATAGTGGGTCAAATGTCAGCAGAGGCCTTTAATTGTTTTCTGCGTTTTATCTTGCAAGATAAGAATGAATTAGTGCAAGTCCAGCTCCTTGGTAAACACATTTTCTTCTTAACCCTTCTCTTCCCTCGCCGCTGCACACATTCACTGGTTTTCCGTGCGGGAGGAGCGGCTGTACTGAGGACTCTCACCCACGCTGTGACCACTGACGCGGCCCACAGTCTCCTGAGGGGAGGAAGAGTTTCTGTAACCTGCTGAGTCACTTCCCTGCCTTTGGGTGCCACTCCTACCTTTCCACTTCAGCAGCGGTCTGGAAAGCAGGGGTGGTATTTGCTCACCTAGCTCACAGAGAGGGCGGGAGGGCACGTTAATTAACGTTAGTTACTAACGCACGTCATGCCGCATAAATGCAAAATGCCTGCTGATTTGCAGTAGGCACGGAGCGGCGAGTACTGTGAGCACATCAGACGACGGAGTGAAAATCCTCGCCAAAAAGTGGTGGGAAGTAGCTCGCAGCAGTTACGCTCGTGTCTGGTGCCTGGCTGTGCTGGTTGACTGTGTGGAGCGGTTCGGGCAAGGCTCACAGTGCCGTCCTGGGGGAGTCGCCGAACTGTAGGGAAGGGTGGGTCTGGGCTGCTGAAACTTGCCCGTTGCATCACTGCAGTTTGCATCTTGCACTGTGGCCTCCCGGTGTAAAAACTAGCTTTGCTTTATGGGTGCTGAAACTCCAGAGTTACATTGCCCGCAGTGGTCAGATATTTGGTGTCTTCACCCTTGACTTTCTGCAGAGAGAAACATTCAGCCCTGGTGAGATCTCTGGTAACTTCAGTTGGTCAAAGCCCCTGGCGGGGAGCGGGGAAAAAATAGGTTTTACTACAGATTTTTGTAGATGAATAGCCAGTAGTCAAAGCACCCAAAACACAAAGCTGTGTGGAGATATTTCATCCCTCTGAACAAAAGCCAACCTATTAGAGCTGGGAACTTCAGCAGCTCTTGGCTCCTGGTGTGATTCTCTTCAGTTAACCGCTTCTCTTGTGTTCCTGTTTCAGTTACAAGCTGTTCTCAAACTGTGTCCCATCCTTTGGCTTCCGCCATCTCTTGTCCTTAACGGATAAAGTTGACCGTTTCAATGAAGAAGTTCAGAAACAGAAGGTTTCCCGAAACAGAGATGCTCCAGAAGGTGGTTTTGATGCAATTCTGCAGGCTGCTGTGTGCAAGGTGAGTCACTCTGATTTCTGGATTTTAAAGTAAAAAAGGAGGTTTCTTCAACTATGTTCTTGGATTACGATAATAAGGCTTTAGTGTGTCAATTCTTGGAAATAACTACTAAGCTTTTTTGCCGAAAACAAGACCAAGTGCACTAAACAATAAAGGCTGGGATGTAAATACGGTAAAGGATCTGCCCCTGTTCAGCTTGTGGAGCCTTATTCCACCTCCTTGTGTAAAACAGCGTGCTGCCCTGCATTCGGGACATGGCATTAGATGTGAAACCTCTGCTGCATGGCATGTCCTTTGTGAGAGACTCACTGTTGTGTTTCATGTTAGAATAGCATGCTGCATGTCTTCGTGGGCAGGATGAGCAACAGTCTGTAGTTAGAGTATGTTAGCTTGGCTTTGGTGCTCTTAGCTGTGTCCTTGGGGTCTTCCAGTGTGTCGCACACCAGAGCGAGATTGCCCAGGCACATCCTAAATGAAGCAAAATGCGTTACATGCATCAGGAATTGCTCTTCAGACTGGGATGCTCCCCTCTCCCAGGGTGCCTGGTGTGGCCTGTTTGCCATTTGCTGCGGCCCAGCCCATGAGCTGGTGGGGGATGCCTTGAGGAGGCACAGACCTCTGCTCGCTATTGTTTCGGCCTCAGCAAGGGGGAACGTATCTCCTCTGGTGTGACCTTCCTGCTGCCGAGGTTGGACAAGCCCTTTTCCCGCAGTGAATGGCTGGGTTTGCTGTGCCATTTTTCTAGTTCATGTGAAGTTTGGGAGGTGTTTGCTCGAAGATCTTTCTGAAGCAAATAGGTGGGTTGCTCTTTATCCCTTTGAGTCAGGGAAGAAAATTAGTGCTCCTTGAAACTGTCTGCTCTTCTCCTCCAGTTTGGCCAACTGCCCCTGCTCTCCAGTGATGGCTGTGTTTTTTTTTCCCCCTCCAACATACAATTTGGTTTTGGTTTTTGCTTTCTCCAACCTTTGTGCGGCCCTCTTGATAAAGCGTGTTTTCTTCTGGGCCAGCTGTAGGAGCTGGGAGGTAGGCCTCATCTGCAGAAGTGGTTTCATGCTGGCTTGTGCAACCCAGTTGTGCCCCATCTGTGAGTGGGAAAACAGATCTTCCCTTGCCTTGGTTGGCTTCATTTTACACTTCATGCTCTCGGCAGGACTAAACCTGCGCTGTTGGATCTGATGTCTCTAAACAGTCGTCTCCCAGCCTGGCACAAATATTGTTATTGGCACAACTGCAGTGCTGCTCTCACCATTAATCTAGACATAAACTGCTTCACATCTTGAGAGGTGGCATTAATGGTTAGAGCAGAGCAATCTCAGGACAGTGCCTCAGTTATGCCACCCATCTTTTTTTTTTTTTTTTCCTTTTCCTTTGACTTCCCCACCTCTTTTTTGCAAAAAAAAAAAAAAAAAAAAAAAAAAAAGCCCCTAGTCTGTCCCCAGCAGAACAGCAGCAAATAGCCAAACCTTGAAGTTTTTCACAACACAAAATTCTTGTTTTGCAGCCAGTCGTGCCACGGCGTCCCGGCCTCGCGTCACGCCCCCTCCGACCGGCGTCTCGGCCGGCCCCGGCGCTCCGGGCCCCCGCGAG